GTCAGTGGGGAGGGACCCCGCAGAGACCGCGCAGCTCCGGACAGGACAAGGGGGGATGGCTTTAAACTAAACCAGGGTAGGCTTAGACTGGATATAAGGAAGCAATTCTTTCCAATGAGGGTGGTGAAACACTGGAAGGGCTTGCCCAGAGAGGTGGTGGAGGCCCCATCCCTGGAAACATTCAAGACCAGGTTGGATGGAGCTGTGAGCAGCCTGATCTGGTCAGCAGTGTCCCTGCTCACTGCAGGAGAGTTGGACTAGATGAGCTCTAGGGGTCCCTTCCAACCCAAAACATTCTATGGTTCTGTGCTGAGCCGCCCGGCGCCAGGGGGTACCCCCAGCCACGCTCACAAGCCCACCTAACAGCATTGACCCACCCGGCTCGCTTTAGGAACCTGAGGCGTAATTCGTAGCTGCTGTAATTTAGCACTTTACTCGGCTTCCAGTCCCTTCTGTTTTGTGTCTCGCTCAATAGGTGCTTTCGGGGGCTAATCCTGGCCGATACGGCTTCCTCTGGCACTGGTTTGATGAGCTCTTTGTCCTTCTGGATTTGCTGCTCCAGCAGCACTATCTGGCCAGGTGCAGCGCTTCCTTTTCTGAAAACTTCTATAGCTTAAAGAGGATACCGATAGGAGATTGCAGGCAGCAACCTCTGGCCACTGCTGGCCTGCCAAAGAGGCAGCACTGGAAGTCTCTCCTCTTGTTGGTTCTTGTTCCTTACCTAAAAGGAAAGCTGGAGAAACTGGTGTCCAGCTTGAGGGAAGAGGATGAGTACTCCATCCACCCTCCATCATCATCCTGGAAGCGCTTTTACAGAGCCTTTCTAGCTGCCTACCCCTTTGTGAACATGACCTGGGAGGGCTGGTTTCTTATCCAGCAACTGTGCTACATCCTTGGGAAAGCTCAGCATCATTCACCTATGCTGTGGCTGGCTGGCGTTCGCCTGGTCAGACTGACGGCAGAGGACATCCAGGCCCTGGAGCAGAAATCGGCTGGAGACACCTTGAGTCAAACATGCAGGTATGTCGGAACATGGCTGAGCTGCTGCCTGGAAAAAAGGAGGCTAAGGGGAGATCTTATTGCTCCCTACAACTGCCTGGCAGGAGAAGGGAGCTGCGAGGGGAAAACAGTCTCTTCTCCCAGGCAACAGGCGATAGGACAAGAGGAAATGGCCTCAAGTTGTGCCAGGGGAGGTTTAGGTTAGATATTAGGAAAAACTTCTTCACTGAAAGGGTTGTCAGGCTCTGGAACGGGCTACCCAGGGAAGTGGTCGAGTCCCCATCCCTGGAGGTTTTAAAAGACAGGTAGATGGGGTGCTTAAGGACATGGCTTAGTGGTGGGATGGCAGGGTTAGGTTAATGGTTGGACTTAATGATCTTAAAGGTCTTTTCCAACCTAAACGATTTCTATGATTCTCTAGGGAGTTCTCTGGGTGCATTAACTTGGAGGTGGTGCTGCAAGTAAAACTGTCTTGTTCTCCAGAAATTCTTCAAAATGAAAATTACCTCTGGCAAAATATGCTCCAAAAGGGTATATTGTTAGTGTAAATAAGGAAACAAGCAGCAGGAATTAGCTTCATGAGATTTTGTGAGAATAAAACTGCTATGTTGTGGGGTGGGGGAGGTTGGCACTCCAGCGTTTATCCTATTCAGTCTTCACCTGCACTTTTCTAACAAGGGAAGTGAACTACAACAATATTGCTACAAGGACTGAAACTCAGTTCCTTGATTTTTCTGAGCAGCAGCTAGTCACGACCACACTTCATGTCCTGTAAATTGATGATCTACAAGTGAAACACGCTGTGTGTTCCAGGTCCCCTCAATCCAAACTCTTCCAATTTAGAATTCTGAACAAAACAAGACTTGAAGCTTTGTTAAAATACAAAGAATCTGGGAGAAACATCCTCGCAGATGCCTCATTACAGACATGGGATACGTTGACCAACTTCCTTAGCATTAAGCAGCTGTGTAAAGCAGTGACTTACTCTCCAAGTCCTTTTTGCCACGGCTTGCAGACGGACAAATGTGCAGTAGTAACAATTTCTTTGTACTTTCTCTCTCTGCTACAGCATTAAAACACAAGTGCAGTCAGCAGCAAGGAAAGCGTTGGGCGGCATTGCCTTCTCCCTGTCCACTGGGCTGTCCGTCGGTGTGTTCTTCCTCCAGTTCCTGGACTGGTGGTACTCCTCAGAAAACCAAGAGACAATCAAATCTCTGACAGCGCTCCCAACTCCTCCACCCCCCGTGCACCTCGACCACGGGGCCAGCTCCGCTCTCTTACCCAAACTGAAGACTGTGTGCCCTCTGTGCCGCAAAATTCGTGTCAATGCCACAGCCCTGTCCACATCTGGCTTTGTTTTTTGCTACCGCTGTGTGTACAGTTACGTGAAGGCTCACCAGCGCTGCCCCATCACAGGCTATGCCACAGAGCTGCAGCACCTTGTTAAACTGTACTCGCCTGAGAGCTGAAAGGCCTGCCCTGTGCTTTCGGAGAGATGCATTTCTGAGGCTAGCAGCTGGGTAGCAGTCAGCCTAAATTCATCCCTTCTTATGTCCCAGTGAAGACTTTCAACCTCCACGGCTCATCAGCGAGCTCTAACGCTCCTTTGAAATTGGTGGTACATCAGAGCTTTGCTGCCTTTGTGAATTTCTGGTGTGCTCTCCCCTTTATTAGCTGTTCAAACACCCTGTGGCTGTTTCAGAGGGATGGGACAGCCACAATCTGTCAGCTGGCACAGAAATGCCTTCAAAGACCAACCAAAAGGGAAGAAACATTGATTTGGATAAGAATGCAGATGTGAGGATCAAAGAGCATCCCTGGCAAAAGTCCTGCTCAAGGGCGTGAGCCAGCAAATTAAAGAGGTAGGGGAAATTCTCTAGGCGAGTTATTCCTCCCATAGCAGCTTCCCAGGCGCTTGTGCTGCCCGGGGCGAGCTCTGGCACTGGTGCTTCTCAAAGAGGTAGAGACAGGCTTAAACCTCTGCTCTGATCACACTGTTCTTAAAATCTCTCAGCATTTTCAGGCTACTCACCTTTGAATTGAGAACATCACACCCTTAATTCCCATCAGCAGCTCTAAATTAAGACTTTTGACTCTTTAAAGGAAGAAGGGGTGATGTGTACAAACAAGGGTACAAGAGGGAAATGACATTTTCTGCACAAGGGAGAAAAATGACAAACCAGATCACAGCAGCAACTGTGCCAATTGATAGGAGGGGTTTTTGTTAAATAAGTCTTTGACTCTGTAGTTAGCTGCTTTTATAAAGCAAAATTCTTTCTTGATTGAGAACCCAACACTGTTCTGAGGATTGGAAAAAACAGTTTGCTTCTCTAGGGGCTCTATGTACATAAGGCAGACTAGACTGAAGCTGCTTTCATCGTTGCAGATGATGATAATGGATATAAGATTAGTATTTTGTAGGCTGGGATTCTTATGTTTGATTGAAGTATTACATTGCAATTACTCCAGTCCCAAACATGTAACGCACTCATAAGCAAGCATCCTCTCATTGAACAGTGGAGAAAAAATGTGTGACATTACAGCTGGTTCTTGCTTGACACCTGTTTTTTCATGATGGGCTTTTTCCCCAACTTGGCTCTAGGGAGCAGCAGTTAGCTACTCGGCAACGTCACTTATAGAATATGAGCAAAGTTTGCTGCACAAAGTACAAGGTCTTTCCAGATTAAGAGATATGTTCTAACATTTAATCCACTGAACCAGTCATCTCATTTTGTCCCCACTTTACCTCTGCTTCAGAAGATAAAAATCTCTAATATCCTCACTCACCTGTAAGCAAGATAGCAAGGTAATTGAATAACATAACAAATACAGTAATGTGCATCCTCCCGAAGATGGTCTGCAAAACACCTGTTGTAACAAGTGAGATTTGTCCCCAACATCTGTCTTATTATCTCTATACAACTTCCAGACACATCTACCTGTGCCACAATGGAATAGTAATAAAAACTGTCTCATTTCTCCAGTAGTCATGGGATCCATAAAGACATCTCTCTTCCTCTATAAAGTCAGTAAGAGCACACACATCTTACTGGAAAAGAAATTGAGGTGCGAGATTTTGAGATTCCACATCACTTTTAACCTAGCTGGCTTTGGGCTGGATATTAATTCACATTACTTTTACATCAGTTTTGCTTCAGAGAGGATATCTCTCTGAAAAAACAGCATCTGAGACATTCCACTGCTGCTGCACCATCTTACAATAACCCCTCTGATTGGACAGACAGGGGCCCAATTGTCCTGTTGACTAGTGCAACTGCTCATTTAAATAAGGGCTGAAGGATTTGACTGACTATGCCATTTCAGGATAGGTTTATTTTCCTTGTATCCTGCCTACACTTTCCAAATTATCCATCTGCTGCTCAGTGAGAAGCTGGGCAGCCCTGGGACAGAAGATGGATCAATGCCGACTCACCCGCCTGCACTGCAGAGCTCTTGGGCAAGTTCCGCACCATCCTCCCCTCTGATCCCGAGGGATTCACCGACCGCTGAACAGCACAACCACACTGCCTGCACACACACAGCTCCAAGGGCCTCTCCCCTCCTCCTAGGGTCAACCTCTCTTCCTCTCCTCAGAACGGCCACCTCCAGGGAAACCTGCACAGAACCACCCACATCTGAGCCTCACAGCTCCAAACAGCTGTAATTACTCTTGTGAATGTTAAACTGCTCTTTAATGCCTGGCTAACTAACAGGCATTAAGCCCATAATGGTGACAGGCTCAGCTCCCTGGCAGATTTTGTGTTCCTGGAGATGGCTGCAGAATACCAACTTGGATTTGACTGCTTCTTCTTGCACTCCTGTCCTTAGTAGCCAAATACATACCCGTTTGTCAAGTTTATTTTCCAAAACAAAGCTATGACACTAATTCAGCTTATATAAACATTCCCATTTATCTGCTTGTTAACTGTAATAGTGTTATTAAAACCATGATGGTCTAAAGATAGACAAGAAGATTTTTTTTTTTCAAGGAACACCAACTTTATTAAACCAAGCTTTGGTCTTAAATACTAATTTGTGACTTCTATACAGTCATGTATCACATATGCATCCAGGATGCTTTGTTCTGTTGCGCAATACAGTTGCATCGACATTAACTGCAGGGAGTTGCCCAATACATTACCATCAGAATGCAACTTTGCAAATCTTTTTAAAAATCCTTAGTAAACCTAAGCCACAGTTATTACTCAACTAGACACTCTTAAAAAGATCAGTGTATT